GGGTTGTACTGTGATTGATGGTGGACAATGCTTTAACTAAAACAGGGTACTACAGATGATTGGGCGAGTTCTAGAACCGATAGGAGGGTAGGGTTACTTATTTGGGGAAGTACTAGGACTGATGTGGGAAGTGCTTTGATAGATGGGCTGTGGAGTTGATAACGTTTTAGTGGTTACACAGTCAGAGGTCACGATGAACTTCTCCTCCAACTCTACCTGTTATTAGAATAAGCAAGCTACATCCATTAAACCATGTTTTTGCTACTCCAACTTAAACTAAACCAGGTCCATATTCTGCACAACACCGCACATGTATGATGTGAATAGGGCACATAGGCAACCACCTCCTTTTCTATGTCTCCTGTTAACGCCATACTTGTGAGGTGGTGTGCAGAAAACCACAACTCGAAGGACATGGTGTGAACAAGCCTACCACCTGCCATTAATGTGGAGATGCCAAGCTCATTGCTAAAATACTGGTGGATAAGGAGGGGGTGCGTTAGCTCTGTAGTGCATCGAGAACCGAAATGAAGTAACCAGATATTATTACAGAAAGCTGTGTGCAATAGAGGACTCTATGCAATAGGACAACTAGTCATCAAAGCATAAGATCCAGCAACCAATGGCCTGCTGGTTACCATGCAACAGGAAAGCTGTGAGAGAGAGGCCACTTGGTAGATGGCAGTGGGGGCCCCATCAAAACTTTGCTATGGTGCCCCATAATATAAGATCACACCCCTGGCTCTATCCAAACCTAAGTATATCATTTAGTTGATTCAGGCTTTTAAATGTTCCTTTATGTCTAATGCTCTAGTTTTGCCTGTCGAAATGTGGGAAACTATACTTCGTGGAATGTTATTTGAACATTCCCCTTTAGGGTGTCTATAGACAGCCACAGACAGTAGACACACCACCTTGGTAGCAAGAAGCAGCTTAATCACAATAGACAGTTTACCAGGTTGTAAAGGTGTAACTGAGCAAAACAAATAATGAATACTATATACAAAAATGGTTACTCCTCCACTGCGCTTTACAGTGTTAGATGTTTCAAAAGGTGGAGTTGTGCTTTAATCTGCTATTGGGGCCAATCAAAAAATTAAAAAGGGAAGAAAACATGAAGTGCTGCCTCTGACACCCTGCTACTAATCTGATTGGCTGCTTTGTATAATGCCTCTCAGTTTCCTTTCCTCCACTGTTAAAGAATACCCGTGTATATTAGCAACACTAACAAATAAATGGGGAAAAGTTTCAACATTTAAATGAAAAACTATACAAATCAGGGCAAGACAGTGCACCCCACAAAAAGGCAATAATTCAAGTGAAAGATGTTTTCGATAAGTGAAATTAAAATTGCAAAGATAATTCGGAACATAAAAAGAGAAACTTGTATGTACAATAAAAAGATCTCGTAATCTAATCTTTGATTGTCAGAGAGGAACCCGCCCCGCTGACTGCACAAGAATGAATCATACTAAGACCTCTGTGAGTCTTCACATGTATAACGTCACACACTCTGCAGTTCTTATGGACTGAACAGCTGTCAAGATCTCATAATACAGCACAAAGTTGATATGAGGAGGGCCAACATGAGCTGAGCTGTGGGACAAGTGTTGTGGTTGTTGGGAAATTTAAAATCATTTTCTGCTTAAGCATGCTCTAGGTACATCGGAGGGGTAACTGAATAATAGCAGTGCACACCCCAGATACACAGAAAGGCAACATCTACACACAGGAATGGGCTGGGGGGGGGGGGGTATGGGCATTTGCCCCCCTGGACCGGTACTTATTTGGGAATCATGTTGGCAGTGGAGATGCTTCACCATTTAGACATCACAGTGGGACCTGCAGTTTGACACATACTGGTCATTTATATAACTACTGTCAATCACAGCATCTGACAGAGACAAGTCTTCCATTTTTGAGTCTCCTCGATATGATGTAAAAGTCACAAGGAAAGACGACGCTGGAAGAAAAGGTGTAGCACAATAAACCATGTCCTCTGGGACCTGTGAGAAAGGGTTTTTGCTCACTTAAAGATATTTTGTGTTCCCAGAAAGATTTATGGGGGTGCAAAACCAGATTGAAGGAGGTCAAAAGGCCAATTGTAGGTTAAAGGCATCTGTCAATGAATTCTGAATGATTGTAGAGGCATCTCGAACTGACGCCAACAACAGCACATTAACATAGGCCCTTAGAAATAATAGGGGGGGGGGGGGGGGTGCTAAAGGAGTCAAAATTTGCTTATTTTTAATAAACGGAACTGTAAATATACTGCACTTAGTCTGGGGCTCCTCGGTGTTCTTTCCTTAGAAATACCCACCTTTCACTATACCCACCAATCTGTATGGCACTATGATGCTTTCTTTGGCCTGTTTATGGCAGACGCACAACGAACTTCATGAATGAAGTGTCTGAATGAAGACCATTTCCCTCTTATCAACCAATCAGCTTTCTCCCATTCCAGGTCAGAAAATGAAAGGGAGACAGTTGGTTGCAAAGAGGGAAACTCAGACTATAGTTCAATCTCATACTTCATACATGATGACTTCTATGTAACAGGCCATACACAGGCTAATATAGGGGGGTTGTTAACACAGCACAGCTCTTTGAGGTAAGCCAGGATGGTGCAATTTTCTTTCCTGCAGCCATGGGTGGCAGGAAAGAAAACTGCTTGATTCCCCTATTAACACAGTCAGTACTGATGGGGAAATCCCTCCAGCAGAGCTAATGCGTTCTTCCACTGGGAAGCCTTCTCTGCTGGCAGAACACAATGATTGTTGCTAGCGGCTTATAGCCACTGGCAGTAATCGCATGTAATATATCTGACAGGCTATTGTACTGAAGTCAATCCATGGATCGTCTTCAATACAACCCAGCCTGCCAATAGATGGATTGAATCTCAGCCAGTCCCAGCCAAGACTTGATCCATCTATGGCTGACTTAAGTCTGCATTGAGACAAAAAAAGTGTTAGGTTAGCTTCATGGTGCCTTGAATATCTCTGCCACAATCGGTTCTATGCTGGATATTCTTGGACTCTCACTGCCTCATTTGACCCTATTCAGTAATGCTCTATTGTTCCTGCCTGCCACCCACAATGCACCTCACAGTGCCAAGGCCCAAACTGCCTTGGGTGTACAAGCCTAAAGTCAGTTGCTTCAGGGATTACAGCAAACAACAAGCACAATTATATCTGATTGAAGGTGTGGAAATGTCAGTTTCCACCTGAAGCAGCACTTGACATAACATTTTAGGTTCAATCCAGGGTTATGCATAGTGGGGTCAGAAGTAGAAGTCCATTGTAATGTATAAGTGGAGAACCCCTATAAATTCCTGTAAGATGGAACCGGTACAGCCAACCATTTATGGATCTGTGCAGAAATACAGTGCTAATCATATATTGTACAAGGATGACGCGTATCAGCATCTAAACGTTGCACAATTCTAGGCAGGAGGAATTATAACTGAACCACTGTAATCCTGTGACTAAACAGGTCAGATGTCCACCATCATGGACAAACCATCTTCCCTTTGGAACTCATTCATACGAAAAGGAAACACCTCTGCAATACAAAGATCCTCATTTCAAAAGAGTGAAGTCATCACATAAATGGGTTTCTACAAACTGCGCTTGTGTACTAAAAAATAAATAAAAAAATAGTTGAGTAGCGACGGACTCTAGACCAAGTAACAGAGGCCATATTTAATATGGCTCTTTCCTATAGGCGCTGCCTAGCTATTTATATCTGTGATCAATTAGTACAATTTTGAACAAAAATCAAGCGGGGTGCTTTAAATTTTCTTGAAGGGCCCAGGGAAAGGAAATATAAAAAAAATACACATCAAAGATGACTTGATAGTATATGGTGCTCCGGCCTATAGTCTTTTAGTGGCACAAAGAAAGGCTTCTTTAAAAAGATTTGGTTTCATGGATGAAGTCTCTGACTCAAAAATCTTTATTTTAAATGTCTAATAACCAATCAAGTTGTTTTCTCAGTCTAACCCAGTGGTTCTCAACCTTCCTAATGCCGGGACCCTTTAATACAGTTCCTCATGTTGTGGTGACCCCCAACCATAAAATTATTTACCAGTAATTATAATTCATGAGTGTCGTTTTACCTCCAATACTGCTGCTTTCAACACAGTAGCTGCTTTCTACACAGTAGCTGCTCTTTACACATCGGAAATGTGTTTTCTGATGGTCTTAGGCGACCCCTGTGAAAGGGTCGTTCGACCCCCAAAGGGGTCGCGACCCACAGGTTGAGAACCACTAGTCTAACCAATGAAGTTTCCGTCTCACTCTGACCTATCAGGGGCTGTAAAGAGCTGTGGGTATAGCCCATGGAAACAAATCGGGCATCAACTTTGAATGCACTGCCTAGGGTGCAAAATTATGACTGGATGCCACAGGTTAGTGCACCTCAGTGATTTATTAAATAAGCCTGAAAAATACTAGGAAAATAAAACATTGCATACATCTAGTGAGGTTTAGGTTTTAAAACCTCACTATAAGGTCTCTGTACTGACAGGACTGTGTCAGTGTTAAGGCTACAGTACTCGAGATACAAAGGTGACAATAGCCTTAAATCACCCTTGCTTAGAAAACACGAGTCACGTCAACTCATGGAGGTGGTTTCAGGTCTGTTACGTGGAGTGGGGATGACTAAACCGATATGGCTAAAGCGCTGGCATGAGTCCATGGCGCTGCTCAGTCAAGCCTTCCTTTGCCCTCCATTATTGGTGCTCTAGCAGTGGTGTGCAGACCAATCCTAAAGATCCACATGCGGCTTGACAGTCTACAGAGTGATCAGTGATAAAGTCCGCTGCTAGCACAAGCCTTGAATGGGATCTCTCGAGCTGGACACTAAGTGGCAGGTTGCAGAGCCTCCTTTCATCCACACATTCAGTGCATCAAGCTCATATTTTTGGTTTCCAGGCCTTGCCAGAGCGGTCCCTTTGACAAAGTCACTTGCCGGTGGGTCCCTGAAATAGGGACTTTGGTTTAAGGAGTGCAACTCTTCAGACCCACATCCTGGAAGAGGGAGGTGTAGAACTCAGGCTCCAGCTGCCTGTTCCTATATTTGTTTACGATGTCGGTGATCTTCTGCTTCCGGCGCACGTGTGGCGTGTTGTAGGAGTCGCTTTCCAGCCGCTTTCTTCTACAGATGTTGATGACTGTTTGCCTCACTAAAAAGCCTGGAAAGGGAAATGGAGAATGTTTTTTACAATTCCACACTTGTGAAGGTGAGAAATGTGGCGCGGGAGCAGCTGCATTAACAGGTTACATGTTTCACCCAGAACACGTGTATAAAATGTAACATGTTTGAAAGGGTGAACTTATCCTTTAAATCTGTTGCGGTTGGCTGTCCAGGCTTCCAGACACAGGGGACGCAATTATACAGAAAAGCTCTTACATGGACTTTGTGAAGTTAGACCCTTCCTGACTGGCATCAAATTGTCTAGCCAAGATAAAGTCCCCACTTATGCCCTATTTCCCTATTTTGTACTTACCAAGTGCTCTCCTGCTGACCACCATTCCATCCACCAATGGGATGACCATGTTGAATTTCCCAGAAGCCCCGTGGACTTTTACCCGGAACAAGCCAGTGTATAGAGGGTGGATGAATATTACAGGTACCTCCTTCTCAGGCATGCGGTTGCTGCTAGAAGGGGGAAAACACACATATTTAATCTGCAGTTGTTGCCATATTAGAATAGATGACAATCTTTTAACCCAGGATTCTGCATTACCTGATAGAAGTACTGCTGTTGGTAGTGGTCTCAATACCGGTGCTGGTCTCTGCTGCCAGGTCTGCCAATGGAAAGTTCTCTGTGTTTGTATGGATGAGAAAAATTTAAATTAAATTTTTTTTCCATTTCCAAAAGTGGTAATCCACATAATATGCTCTATAGAACGTTCAAATGGACTTCTTTCCCTAAGACATGCAGTCAAAGCAGACTAAACTGATTTTTTATTCATTTGCAAAATTTAAACTTTTGTTCAAAAGTCAACAGTTAGCCCTCATCTCCATCTTCAACCCTGGTGAAACCTCTGGTTGGAAATTTAGATATAGTATGCACTTTTATACTGTAAACATTGTGAGTGCAATGACTAGTACTTTTCTTTTTATGCTTCATTTGTCTGCACTATCTTTCAGCTAATCCGCAGCAGATGGGAGATTGTGTGGATGAAGGAACTGGCAGGCCAAGTGACAGCGAGAAAGCGTGAGGATGCGGGTCTATTCAAACAGTGGATTGTAACGCCGAAAAGTTGAAGTGAGAAGAGGAGCTGTGTAGATAATGCTTTTGGTTAACAGTTCAAGGAGACAACATCTAAGTGCAACTTTGCAGCAAGATCCCTTATCATGAGATTGAAATTTGAGAATCAGTGGCAAGACTTGAAAATTGCTGTTCACAGACGCTCTCCATCCAATCTGACAGAACTTGAGCGATTCTACAGAGAAGAATGGGCAAAAATTTCACTTTCTAGATGTGCAAAGCTGGTAGAGACATCCCCTAAAAGACTTGCAGCTGTAATTGCAGCAAAAGGTGGTTCTACAAAGTATTGACTCCGGGGGGCTGAATACAAATGCACGCCACACATTTTCACATATTTAAAAAAAAAAAAAAAAAAAAAAAATGTGAAAACTATTTATCATTTACCTTCCACTTCACAAATATGTGCCACTTTGTGTTGATCTATCACATAAATCCCAATAAAATACATTTACATTTTTGGTTGTAACATTACAAAATGTGGAAAAATTCAAGGGGTATGAATACTTTTTCAATGCATTGTACATGAAGGTAAAAAAATCTTTGGGCTTTAGAACCACTTTAAGAGTAATTGCCGTGCAGAATGGAATACACGCAGTATTTCCTGAATGGTAAACACTATAACAATATTATTTCCAGTATACAGTATGTGGTCTTATAAACCTACCCAAATCATCATACTGCTCCAGCCACACGACAGCCACTTTAGTCTCTGGTCCCAGTGGTGGGACAGTTCTTCCATGTGGAAGCTTCTTAGCACGTGATGTTGGACTAAGCTGAAAAAAAAAATAAATATAATTAAAACCCAACTGAACTTTTAGCATAAATCAGCTAAACACATTCCAGGGCCATCAAAACAAGAGATGTGCAAACATGCAGTTTGTTTTCTAAAGCAGCCACAGCCTGATTAGAAAGGCCTGTCCCCTGGCAGTATGCTGTAGAGAAGAGCCTTTGCTCTGTTGGGAAGCAGTGGGCACCCTGTAGTAGTCAGACACATCCCCTACTAAGTCAAAGCACAATCAGCAGGGAGCATTAACTTTGCTGATTGCAGAGCTAATTAGATTAGACCAGAGTTTAGGATTACCTATGGTGAGATGGTTCACTTCAACATGGATATGACTAGAGTATTACGCAGGCCATAGACGGGCCGTTTATCGGCCGAATGGTCGGCCAATAAACAAAAAATCGGTTGTTGCTGCCACCAACGCTTATGAAAATGTCAGTTTTTCATGGATTTTCCAGCATGACCAAAAAAAGAAATGAGAAGATCTGCGAAAAATGGCCGACAGCACTGCCCCACTATTGGTGTGAATATCGGCCAATTTTTCTTCTTTCGGACGAAAATTCGGCCGATAAACGACCAGTCTATGACCTGGCTTAGGATGGGTATACACAGTCTGAAAATTTGCCAGTTAAACAGGAACCAACTTTTGGTCAGCGTGTACAGCTGTCTCTCCGCAGAAACCAGTGTAACGGCGGTGTTTGTCAACGGGACATGTTGGAAAAACAGCATTTGATCAGCCATTGACTAAGTGCTGATCAGTGTATCCTGGTGAGGGGGTCCCCCTGTCAGAATACAAAAACACAGTGAGGGAGATCATTGCATGAACATTGCTTGTGTTTCTACGATGGTTTGTTGTTTTTTTTTTTTTGTTTAGTCTGCTGGGTTGGAAAAAAAAAATGTCCGTGTGTAACCAGCTTTAGGCTAGTCAAGGTCATTAGAGAATAGTCTCAGACATGACCTAACTTACTGTAGATGTCGGAGACTGGCTTCACAATACATGGTAAAATGGGCATTATTGCAACGCATTGTAACATGCAGTCCCTTTAATTCAGAATGGCATCACAATGTAGAAGTGCAATAGGTGCCTATGGACCCCTACTAAAGTACACTGCAACAAACATACTGTGCGTTATGAAGCAATAGATTGGCAATCCATCCTAAAGTGCATACAATAATGTACTAGAATGGAATGGTCAGATGTAAAGTGGCCTTTCAGGTTCAGTTTCCAGCATAAGGATTTGGGTAAACCAAAAGATTGTGTATGTTAAGAAGAGAGGAGGAGGAATGCACATACAGAAATAGTTGTTGCCAAATTATCTCAGAGGAAGCAACATCCAACCAAGGTTTTTTGAGCTGTCTATCCATTATATCTTTTGGGTCATCATTGTCTGCAGATGCCCAAAGATACTGTTGCCTGATCTAGTTAAAATCTGCTGGACCAAGTTGTTTTTATATCAAGTCTTTACTGCCAGTATTGTGCTTTAAAAATGGAAAACTAAGACTAACAGGTAAATTTTATATCTTGGAGTACAATACAGGAAAGGAAGTCCAAGACGATGGGTTATATGCTGCTACCGTCAAGTGACTGAATGGGTTTTTTTTTTTTTAAGAACATACTGGGGGAATTTCCAGCAAAGCTTTTGCCAGTGGCCACTCTGTGGGACTCCAGTTTTGTAGCAACAGAAATAAAAGACTGAGTGAAGGGACTTGTGTCTTGTTCTATACTCCAAGACATGGCACTTTCTGATAAGTAAAAATTCCCATCGTCTTAAATCATACAGGAAGTCAAAGACCATGGGATGTTCCTAAGCAACAACCTGAGGGATGGGCAACAAATAGCATTAGACCCACAAAAAACAAGAGCCAACGTATCAGAAACACTCAGATGACAGCTTGAAGCACCTTGCAGCCAAAGCTCACATCAGCTGAGGGATGAAGATCGACACAGTAATACTTTGAAAGAGTATGAACAGAAGTCTAGGTGGTGGCCAGGACCAGGAGTAAGCACTTTTGTGAAGACAAAAGAAAAGCCCAAATGGCAGAGTGAGAAAGTGACAAAGTTGGTCGATGGGAGTGAAGATAGGCATCTTGGATATCCACTAATGCCAGAAATTCCCCTCATCTGAGAGAAGCATTGACCGATCTTATGTAACTTCATGCAGAATTAGGGAACACACAGATATTGGTTTAGAAATGTCAGATCCAAAATGGAGCAAATGCCTTCAGTTTTGGGAGTTTGAGCTTTTCTCTACAGGACTGGGATCTCCTTGTGTCTGAAGTTGACTCAGGATATCTCACTAATCTGCCTGTCTCTGAAAATCAGCTCTCCCCACATTCTGGAGAGTAAGGTTGCCCCTTCATTGTTAGGAGGGCATCCGGGTATGATTGGAGGGTTTTGGTGTCCATGTCTTGTGACAAACGGTGCAGATGGACCCGCCTTTGACTTAGAGCAGGACTCCTGAGTGGAGTGAAAGGACCCTTCCTGTGTAGTAGTAGTATGCTTCGGCTATTTTTTGTGGAGTAAAAGTACTTTCCTCACAGTAACTTCACTGATAAATTTATCAAGGTATTCACCAAACGGATGTTTGCCATCAAAAGACATGTATAAAAGATGTCTTTTGCAAGCAGGATCAGCAAATCAAGGCTTTGACTCAAATTCTGCAAATATGCACAGACAGCAGTATCATACTAGAGACATGGCAAAGTCTATTTTCTAGGCCATCAACATAAAACAGCAGAACTGAAATTGTTTCAGTAGAAAAAGGGTCCTCAAATACAGAATTGTGTTCTCTATTCAGTTGCCTTGTCCAATTAGCAGCAGTCTGACAAATAGACACAGCCACAATGGCCTGTTGTATGGCAGGACCAGTGAGAGCCTTCAATAGCGTTTCAAAGTGTTTATCAACGGAACCTTTAAAGGAGGGAACATTCTCAACAGGAACAGCAAGATGGTTGTTACAGAAATGGCAGAATACACTACCAAAACAGATCATTTTTCTTTTCCATAGGAAAAGTGTTGGAATAAATACCTTTTTCAGGATTTGGTCAATTCTCATGCAAAGCACAGTTAATTAGTTAAGGAAAGGTCTTTCTAGGCTCTGTCATATTTTGAATGCCCATAGGAGTTTGTTTAGGCTGGGGAGATTCTGGTGCTGCTAGACAACAGCTAGTGAATTCACAGTAGAAAGCATATGAATGGAACCGACAGTTTGTGCCTCAAACCGCAGGTGAAACTCCCTCTGCAGAATCTCTTTTTCTGTCCATCTCGCTTTCCTCAATTTTTTTTTTCTTCCAAGAAGCTGGGAGGTTAAGTGTTATACTATAGACTCAGAGAGGCAGAAGACCACACTTGAGCCCTGTAGACTGAAACTTCTAGAAAGGCAGAGTGTTTCCCAAAGAGATCAGACATCGTATAGGTGAATCTACCTTAGTCAGGCTGTCTGTTGCGCACCTGAGAGGGAGCTAAAAATACATAGATAAAAGGAGCTTTGTCAATATAGGACCTTTCACCGAAGCAGGGAACGGCTATCAATCTGAGCATTTTGCTGGTTTTCTTCCGTGTCCTCTGTTGCACATTGATATTAAGCTCTTTTTTCTCCTCCACACTTGTCTCCACCTTCATTAAATGAGGGAATCCTCTGTGAGGAATGATAAGGTATTAGCGTGCATCAGGAAAGCAGTCACAATATCCCAGGCACTGATCAATATCTTGTGACGGTCTCTCATGAACAGCAGGCAGCCAGGAGACCAGCAGAAATACTTCTTGCATTCTCAGCAGAAAGGGTAGACAGAAATGGCAGGTGGGAGTCAGCTGGAAGGCAGATTGCAAGCATCTTGCATCCAAGTAGCTAGGCCATGTGGAGAAAAAAACCCATTACATTTAAAAGGCTGAAGAACAAGGAGAGGGCGGGGGACACTTCCCCCTTGCCTTATGCCCAAATGCCACCTGCATCCGGGAAACAAAGGACTCCAGGGCCAGAGTTAGTGCGTCAAGAGGAAACCGAGACCCCGAAGAACCCGCCGCTTCCAGGAGGGCACCAGGTGGAGAGGGGTGGGATCCTCAGACTCCATGCAAAGAGAAAGAATTAACACCACAGAAAAAAAAAGTACCGCCAGGGAAGCCACCAGGGAATAAGACACACTACCCCAGAATGCCAGCAGAGAGGGATACCCAACCAAGACTCACCACCACTGTGGAACGAGCACCGTCGGCAGGTGAGCAGAAGAGAAAGCAGAGTCCGCGTGCAGAGTGCCTGGGAAGAGGAAGCTCGGGAATCCACAAGGAAGGAAACAGAGGATGGGTTAAAAGTAGGAGAAGCCACCGCAGCGCAGCTTCAGAAGCATGGCCGCCGCATCCCTTTTTTCCACAATACATCCTTAGCAGGTCGGTCCACTTGAAAATGGGTGCTGCTGGACTACAAGAAAATGGCCACTAGGAGTAATGACTACAGTCCCCAAAAACAGAGCACTACACAGCACGGGAAGACAAACAGCCGGCATCCCAACCCAAACTAGAATAAAATGGCTGCCGGGAACCCAGTACCACGAGCTGTGTACAGACCTCAGGGAAGATGATCACCATCCCTGGAGGAAAAGGCCTGCCATGCCGACTGCAGGGGGAATCCAGGTATGCGGACACAGTGGTCACTAGCGCACAAAACCCCCCTCTTCCCCTGAGATAGCCCACGCTCGGCCAGCAGGTAAGCAGGACAGGGCAGTCACCAGGGACGAAGTAAAAGGATGAGGAAGAGCGGCGAGGCCATAAGGGAACCTGGTAGCAAACTGGAGGGCCTGAATGGGAGAAGGGGAACCCTCAGGTCCAACCACCTCAGGGAGCACCCACGTCTGCTCCACAGACAGATCCAACCTGCCACCAAAATGGGGGCTGCTGGCCAGGGAAATGCTATGATACAGACACTGGAGCCCAGTCATATGCGTCCCTGCGAGAATGTTTAACTCGCCTGCCTGCCCCAGGCCTAGAAGGGGCTGTGTTCCAGCGACCTAGCGCTTAGCTGAAGGTCTGCATGTGCTCGATGGTCTGACTGGGGTGACCACTAGATCTAGATCATCCAGCCTGTCACCCAGCCTGGCAGTTTATTTCAGATCTTGCAGGAAGAAAACAAAATAAAGGAAAAAAAGGTATAAAGGAAAAAAAAGAAAAAGCTATAGAACAAAATGTTGCAGCAGGAAGCAAGGTCCTTATTTCTGAAACTAGGCAGAAACAACTGGATGCTTATAGCAGGGGGGGTTATACAAGCTAGGACTGCCCATAGGTGTTGCAGAGTTTGTTTTCTGCCTAGTGTTCTACTCCTGTAGGTGGCAATATAACCCAATGGTTGAGAATGTGAAGAGCTGTGTCCAACACTGAACGTAAGAGAAAACATCATTCCTACAGTAAGCCATGGAGGTGGTATTATCCTGTTATGGGGGTGCTTCTCTGCATCAGGGACTGGAGCACTTGTCAGGATAGAAGAAAAAATGGATGGGGAAAAATACCGTCAAATTGTTTAATAAAATCTGCTGCTCTACCAGAAAGTTGATAATGAGAAGGTTTACCTTCCAACATGACAATGACCCAAAGCACACAGCAAAAATGACCAAACAATGGTTGAAGGAAAAAAAAAGGTGAATATCCTTGCATGGCCTAGTCAGAGCTCAGACTTAAAGTGTTACTAAACCATGGACCCTGCTTTCATTATATCTGGTTTCCTACAGCACATGGAAATGCAATTATTTTAGTAGATATAAACTGCAAAATAACTTTTCTTAGCAGTTAGAGCAGTCTTGTTATGTCTACAAGTGTCCAGTCCAGCCAAGCACTGGTTAAAGCCTGTGGGAAGAGTTTTCATTCTGCTGTAGCAGGATGCAGGACCCCTGCCTCTATCTGGATAATGCCGATTGGCCCTGTGCTGATCACATGCACTCTCCCAAAAAAAAACCTATCTAGCAATACACACACCAAACTGAGTATGTGCAGAGTGACTCCACACGATATGTCTTATCAGGAGATAAGAGGGTGACACTGGAAGAAGGGGAGGATCAGAAGTCAGGAACACACAGTGTATTTACACAATTATTATTATTATTATTATACAGTATTTATAAAGCGCCAATAGTTCGCTCAGCGCTGTACATTACAAAGGGGGACAGAACATGTGACAGAACAATACCAATACAATGCAAAACATGAGGGGATCAAGGGCCCTGCTCTTTCGAGCTTACAATCTAGGAGACACAATGCAAAGGATTAACCCTTTGGTTCCACGGTGAGTAGAACAAGCATGCTTTACTGCATATACAAACTCCTAGATTGTAAGCTCCAAGGATCAGGCCCTCCTTTCCCTCTTGTATTGAACTGTATTGTTGCTGTATTGTCTCCCTTTATATTGTAAAGTGCTGAGCAAATTGTTGGCGCTATATAAATCCTGTATAATGATAATAATAATATAAAAACTAATTTTACTGTTGTAGTTTTAGTAACACTTTAAACCCCATTGAAAATCTGTGAAATGACTGCAGTCCACAGTCACTATCATATTTAACTGAACTTGAGCAGAGAAGACTGCACAAATATTGCAAAGTGTAGATGTGCAAAGCTTGTAGAGACATATCCCAACAGACAAAAGGCTGTAATTGAAGCAAACGGTGGTTCAACAAAATAAAGGGGGTGATCCTTTTCCCAACTCAGTGTTCTGTTTTTCATTTTTTTTTTTCCCTGACATGTTGGTGTTATATCTTTCACTTGGATGTTATAAGTTGCAAGTAAATACAGCTGGATGAAACAAAAACTGTGTCTGTCTTCATTTCAGACTGCAAAGTAATAAAATGTGATTTTCTACACCCACTGTACAATCACCTGAAGGTAGTGGAACATAACCCATGCTCTATGACTTCCTGTCCTGTACTGCAAGATTACGAAAGATCTTTTGTCAGCGGGAGAGAAAAAATGGTACCTACCCTTTGAGTGGAGTTTAAGTTTTCCGTGTGATTTGGGAAAAGTTCCAAAGTCAAAGGCTGCTTCAATATTCCATGTAGCAGGTCCATATTGGAATCTGCTTCCTGTTCGGATGCATTACTTTCTGAGGACTCCACTGATCAGTGCAAAAAAAGAAAACATTAAAACCCTGCAGGCAGTCACATATTTAGTTTGTAGCTCAAACATTGTCACTAACTTGTACATTGTCACATTACAACTTACTGAGAGCCTCAGTCGCTGATGGTACCACAAAAGCAATCTCTGTAAGGGCATCTGCGTAATACAGGACTTTCTTCTGTCCGTTAAATATGCTTCCACCCGAGTCTTCTGCACTAGTGGTCTCATCTACAAGTAAACCAAAAAAGAGCTTATATTGGTTTGTACACTATTGTGGTTATTGTTAGAAGGTGGCAAAACAGCAAATGGGGGAAAAAAAAAAAAAGTGTCAAACTTCAGAAAATTAGAATACAAATATGTGAACTGCCCTGTCAATGGATTTGTAATTTTGTCCAGCTGCTTCTTTGATTTCTACACCTGTGTCAGACAGAACAGCAAAAAGGATGACGCTACTTTGTCTCTCAGTGTTATGCAGGCCATAGATGGGTCGAAAATCGGCCGATTTTTCGGCCTAAAATAAAATCGGCCGATTTTCGGATCGTTAGTGGGCTATTTGGTCGGCCGTTTTTTTCGGTATTTTGGCAGATTTTTTTTTCGGTAAAGTTGGAAAAAAAAAATCGGCCGATTTTGCCAATCGACCGATTTTCGCGGCAATGATGGGCAAATCGGCCGATTTTTTACCGATAAAAAATCTGCGCATGAGCAGTGACCTGCAAGAAGAAGACAAAAAGAAGAGGAAAGAAGAAGAAGAAGAGGATGAATAAAGAGATGAGGATGAAGATGAGGATGAGGATGAAGAAGAAGAGGATGAAGAAGATGAGGATGAGGATGAAGAAGAGGATGAAGAAGAGGATGAAGAAGATGAGGATGAAGAAGAAGAGGATGAAGAAGAGGATGAGGATGAAGACGAAGAAGAAGAAGAGGATGAGGACGAAGATGAAGAAGAGGACGAAGATGAAGAGGATGAGGACGAAAAAGAAGAGGATGAGGATGAAGAAGAAGAGGATGAGGATGAAGAAGAAGAGGATGAAGAAGAAGAGGATGAGGATGAAGAAGAAGAGGATGAGGATGAAGAAGAAGAGGATGAGGATGAAGAAGAAGAGGATGAGGATGAAGAAAGGATGAGGATGAAGAAGAAGAGGATGAAGAAGAGGATGAAGAAGAAGAAAAAGAAGAGGATGAAGGAGGATGAGGATGAAGGATGAGGATGAAGAAGGAGGATGAGGATGAAGAAGGAGGATGAGGACGAAGAAGGAGGATGAGGACGAAAAAGAAGAGGATGAGGACGAAGAAGAAGAAGAGGATGAGGATGAAGAGAGAAGATGAGGATGAAGAAGAAGAGGATGAGGACGAAGAAGAAGAAGATGAAGAGGACGAAGAAGAGGATGAGGACGAAGAAGAAGAGGATGAAGAAGAGGATGAGGATGAAGAAGAGGATGAAGAAGAAAGAGAGGATGAGGATGAAGAGGAGGATGAGGATGAGGATGAAGAAGAAGAGGATGAGGATGATGAAGAAGAGGATGAGGATGAGGATGAAGAAGAAGAGGATGAGGATGAAGAAGAGGATGAGGATGAAGAAGAAGAGGATGAGGATGAAAAAGAAGAGGATGAGGATGAAAAAGAAGAGGATGAGGATGAAGAAGAGGATGAGGATGAAGAAGAAGAGGATGAGGATGAAGAAGAAGAAAAAGAGGATGAAGAAGAAGGAGGATGAGGATGAAGAAGAAGGAGGATGAGGATGAAGAAGAAGGAGGATGAGGATGAAGGAGGATGAGGATGAAGAAGAAGAGGATGAGGATGAAGAAGAAGTAGGATGAAAAATAAGAGGAATTCCAGTCCAGCAAAAAGTGTCCCTGCAGAGAGCTCCGCTATTTCTTTGACAGTTCTTTGACATTTACAGCGGTTGCAACATTGTATCTATTTGTTTCCGAATAAAAACATCTGTATCCTAAATGGAAACAAATAGATACAATGTTGCAACCGCTGTAAATGTCAAAGAACTGTCAAAGAAATAGCGGAGCTCTCTGCAGGGACACTTTTTGCCGGCTCTAGACGGGATGAAAATCGGTCGATTTTTTTTACCATTGATGGTAACGTCGGCCGCTTGAACGACCGATTTTTCGTTTTTTTAAAAGAAAAATCTGCCGTTTTTCTCCCCGTCTATGGCCTGCATTAAGGAATTCTTTAGTGTCATTTCCCCACCTCCAGCCTGCTGATTGGACAATAAAGAAAACTTATAAGTGCTCAGTCTGCTAATTACTCCTGTCAGTGTGTTTCCTGTCAGCAGGTTTCTTGCCAGCATATTTGTATGTCTAAAATTCTGATTCCTAGCGCTGCCCCTACCTTTCTTAGTCTGAGTGCAGCTGTGAATAGGATGGCAAAAGGCTTCAACACTAGCAGAAATTCAAAGGAAAATTCTTAGAATGTTCTGAGAATTTTCATACAGATGGAACCTCTTCTGGCACAAGAACTGGGTATTCAGGAACGTTGTCATTGCTCCTGGCTCTCCTGGAATATGTACAGGGAATCCTCTGAGCTTCGGGACATGCTAGCGGGATGAAGGTGATTCTAGCTTCTTTGGTCACTTTGATTTGTTTCACTTGGTGGACCCTCCTGAAGACTGTGGGTGCCCTCCTTGGTCTCAGCTTTTCCTTTCTTACTGATTTCTTTTCCATACCTGTAACCCCTCGCCTCTTTTCCACCCCCCCCCCCCACCCCCTTTTTTTTGGGCCTTACTGAGGTTTGGTTGGTTTAGTGCACACATACCACATACCCGTCCAGTCAGTGGGCAGGTGTAGATAGATGGTATGGTGTTACAATTGTTAGGTACGGGAAGTAATCATTTTGATCCAGGACAAGACCGTGCAGGTTTGTGTTTCACTGCTCTCTGTTCCGGCTGAAGCTCCTACATGCCGGCCTAGTCACTCTCTGTGTTAACCCTACTGGCCCCTATGGACTTTTTATTATTTTCGAATATAGTTCATTTTTCTGCATCGCTGCCTATTTTATATAAAACCAACTGTACTATTTTGTATGTATTTGAGTTATGGGTGTTTTTGGTTTTTATTTCCCCTTTGCCCCAAATTGTTGGGGTGTTTGATTTTTTTATTTGCAATTTTGTATGTTAAAACTTTATTTTTTAAATAAACTTAGATTAAACATAAAAAGTGTTCGTAAGCCTTTTTTTTTCACTTCCCCTTTGCCCAGATTGTTGGGGTGTTTGTTTTTGTAATTGCTATTTTGTATGTTAAAACCTTATTTTTTTCAATAAAATTAGACTGAACACCAAGTGTTTGTAAACCTAAAAGAAAAAAAAAAAAAAAAAAAAACACTTTAATTTCTGCCTGCCGAAGTTTGGTTTTACCTGGTTGATCCTGCCTGTGCCCTTCCTCCTGAGAGTAAACTGACCACGCTAGCATGACTGCCAGTCCATGCTACCGTGGTCTGTTTACACCTTGAGTTATCCCATTGACAGATGTGCAGTGCAAAAGCACAGCACACCTGCATCTTCCGTAGTCACAGCTACACAGCGCACCTGCATCTTCCGTAGTCACAGCTACGGAAAGCACCTGCATCTTCCGTAGTCACAGCTACGGAAAGCACCTGCATCTTCCGTAGTCACAGCTACGGAAAGCACCTGCATCTTCCGTAGTCACAGCTACGGAAAGCACCTGCATCTTCCGTAGTCACAGCTACGGAAAGCACCTGCACCTCTCTCCGTAGTCACAGCTACACAGCACCTGCATCTTCCGTAGTCACAGCTACATCATCTTCCGTAGTCACAGCTACGCACCTGCATCTTCCGTAGTCACAGCTACGCACCTGCATCTTCCGTAGTCACAGCTACACAGCGCACCTGCATCTTCCGTAGTCACAGCTACGTAAATCGCACCTGCTTCTTCCGTAGTCACAGCTACGGAAAGCGCACCTGCATCTTCCGTAGTCACAGCTACGAAAGCACCTGCATCTTCCGTAGTCACAGCTACGGAAAGCACCTGCATCTTCCGTAGTCACAGCTACACAGCGCACCTGCATCTTCCGTAGTCACAGCGCTACACAGCGCACCTGCATCTTCCGTAGTCACAGCTACGCACCTGCATCTTCCGTAGTCACAGCTACGCACCTGCATCTTCCGTAGTCACAGCTACGCACCTGCATCTTCCGTAGTCACAGCTACACACCGCGCCTGCATCTTCCGTAGTCACAGCTACACAGCGCGCCTGCATCTTCCGTAGTCACAGCTACACAGCGCACCTGCATCTTCCGTATTCACAGCTACACAGCGCACCTGCATCTTCCGTAGTCACAGCTACACACCGCGCCTGCATCTTCCGTAGTCACAGCTACACACCGCGCCTGCATCTTCCGTAGTCACAGCTACACACCGCGCCTGCATCTTCCGTAGTCACAGCTACACACCGCGCCTGCATCTTCCGTAGTCACAGCTACACAGCGCACCTGCATCTTCCGTAGTCACAGCTACACAGCGCACCTGCATCTTCCGTAGTCACAGCTACACAGTGCACCTGCATCTTCCGTTGTCACAGCTACACAGTGCACCTGCATCTTCCGTAGTCACAGCTACACAGTGCACCTGCATCTTCCGTAGTCACAGCAACACACCGCGCCTGCATCTTCCGTAGTCACAGCTACACAGCGCACCTGCATCTTCCGTAGTCACAGCTACACACCGCGCCTGCATCTTCCGTAGTCACAGCTACACAGTGCACCTGCATCTTCCGTAGTCACAGCTACACAGTGCACCTGTACCTTCCGTAGTCACAGCCACGCCCCCTGCCACTGCACTAGGCTGGAAAAGGGGGGAAGTGACATTATGAAGCCAGGATGGATGGTGTTCCATCGCTATTCAAACACAGAAGCTCAGTGGTAACATCACTCATGACAACTAGACATGCCCACCAGCAGTCCTTGCATCACTGTAGAAGCTACAGCATTCATATGACCTTTATTAATGAACTCAGAGAAAGCAGTAAAGGGAAGTTTTCTAAAAAGCAAGCACACAGTAATTACAGGCTTTAATTTCCCTATTCAAAAATTATTTTATCATGAGTAAGGTTTACAAGCTCCTCCCAGTAGGCCTGTCTCTTTGTACATTCCCTCCACAGTCACATATGGCCACATCCTCCGTCTTCAGCTTGAGAAGGGAGCGTGACTCCGTTTAGTGGTTTAGCGCATGCTCCGTAACGCGTCACTTTGCATGCTCGTCTCCCCTACGTCATCACGCTGACGCCAATGTTGCGTTCCAATGTGCACTCCAGACACCATCTTCAGGGACTTGACATGCCGGCCGGCTTTCTTGTGACACCCACAGTCTCCCTTAGCGCGGACGCGGCCATTGCAACGAGGACTTGGCTATTAATCCACTTACCTGATCCTTCTTATTTTTTACACAATGTCAGCTTTTAAATTGTTTCCCAATAAATGTTGTTACATATTGCACTTAGAGGCGCTTTTTTTTCTTCCTTCCCTTTACACAGAGCCTGCTACAGCTATAAGAGCTTGCCCTAGTGCTATATGGACTCATTTGCACTATATTGCATTTATGACATTGGACTTTATGAACATTTATATTGTGCCCTTTGCCAATAGGATTTGGGGATCTGTATACACTGATTTTCTAGTGGTTTTTTGTTTCTGGTGTTTACATATCTGCCTGGGGTTCATCTTTGATGAGAGGGAGTAGCCTGTACAGGTACATCTGCTCATTATATGGAGAACGTGTCATCTAAGCAATCTTCACCGTGTAATAACTGCAGATGCCAAGCAAGGTGGCTGCAACATTTCAAAAGCTGCTAACCTCCACATTTTCCTGTGTGATCCTCTAGATGTTACAATAAATAGTGCGAAAAACAAAAAATATTGCAAACTGCCAAAAATCAACACTAGTTGATAAAAGATAAAGTGCTAATATGATTCAGCATTTTGAAAACAGTGTGAAAAACAATCACTGAAGTCAGCAGGGATATCAGATTGCAGTGTTTATAAAGTGGTCAGTGATTCTACAGTGAATAGGCAGAAATCAGGGACACGTGCTCCCATGAGTCCTTGGTCAAAGCTGGAAATGAACATGGAAGAATGCATACTGCCACATTTGGTTTTTCTGTAAATACCTTGATCTTGTTGGTCATTCTCACTGATGCAGTTAATTGACCAGCTTGTAGACACATGGCCCGTCCACCCTGGGTGCTTCCCTACATCCACTGGCCAGCCAAGAGACAGCAGGAACTCCAGAAAGTGAGGCTGCACACTACTAGATGACTCAACATTCTTCAAGATCTGTGAAAGTGTCACATATGAAGTCATTTAAAACTGTGTATCAGTGCCTTCAATAAGACCCAGAATAAATAAATGGGTGGTTTTATGGACTACATTTCTTAGGAGGCCGTGTAAAAGAAAACCAATACACTGTTACAGTGAACCTGCACACTGTTTCTGTTTTCGTAGGGCAAACAAAAGGGTTCAGGAAACTGCTGCTCCCTTCAGTCACACATTCTTTCCTTCCCTTTGCTCTCCTACCACTCTGTTCCACCCACTGGGAACAAACAGAAATACTTGCGCTGTGTGTGTGGGAAACATGCAACTTGCTCGCCTAGCTCACATGTAACAGTTTTATTGCTTTGGAATTGGACACACCTGCTCCATGCACTGTCACATGAGGTGGGGACAGAGTCACGAACAATGTTTTAGCTCCATGCTGCAAAAACTCATCTCTTCAGCACATGGCTAAATGCTTAGGTATCTAGTCATGTGAGAACTCTCTAAGGCAGCAGTCACTAAATGGGGGACCGCGGTCCAAGAACAGCCCGAGCAGCGCTCCTGCCCGGAACCGCCAGCCCGCCAGACTGGAATGACAGGTTCGCTGCTCAGCAGGGGCGGTCGTCCCGGCAACCGATGACATCAGGCATGCACCCCACCCCGTGCTGTTTCTCCTGACTCCTGCTCCCTGTCTATAAGCACGCACCCCGCCCCCTTCAGCAAGGATCCCGGCAAGCTCCTGCCTCCTGCTCCAGTCTGCCCTCAAGGTAGGGTGTGTTCGTTCTGGGGGACCTTGATGGGCACATTTAATATTAAAGAGTAATGCTGATGGGTACATTTAATGTTAAGAGGCACTCTGATGGGCACAACATAGAATGAGCCCATCAGAGTGTCCATTAGCATAAAATGTGCCCATCAGAGTGCCTGTTACCATAAAATGTGCCCATCAGCATGCCACTTTATTTTATGTTAAGGGGCACTCTGATTAGCATCTTTTATCTGAAGGGGGCATATCTAAGCAATACTGTGGAGAGGGGCACGGATAGGCACGTGATGGAAAGGGGCACTGATAGGCATGTGATGGAGAGGGGCACTCTGATGGGGAAATATGATGAAAAGGGGTACTTTGATTGTAAGGGGGCACTCTGATGGCAATACCTGATGCAAGGTGGCAATGAAATATCAGGATACCTGATGTAAAGAAGCACTCTGATGGGCACACCTAATGTAAGGGGCACACTGATGGACACACCCTAATGTAAGGCGTCACCGAGATGGGAGAACCTTATATAACGGGGCACTCTAATGGGGACAACTGATGTAAGGGGGCACACTAATGGGAAACAAATGTAAGGGGGCACTCTGATGTAGAAACCTGATGTAAGGGGGCACTCTGATGGGAATGCCTGTTGTAAGGGGGCACTCTGATGGGAACACATTACTTAAGGGGGGGGGGCTCTGATGGGAACGCCTGATATAGGGGGGTACTCTGACGGTGGCAACTGATTTATGGGGGGGAAGTCTGATGGTGGCACGCAATGTAATAAATTATTTTGGAGGGGGAACCTGATGTAAGGGGGAACACTAATGGGGACATTAATTTTCGGACCTCGGCCAGATGAAGATTTTAGTTACCCAACCTCCTTGAATTTCAATCCAATACCCCTGCTCTAAGGGATCCCAGAGCAGAAGGGAAATAATTCAAGGTATCCATTTTCTTTTAGGACTTTTAGCCCCGGTTCACCCATATGTGGCGTAGGAAATGCAGCGGTCCCTGTATGTTTCTTGCACCGCATTGCAATTGAACTCTGCATTTCTATCAGCTGCGAGTGTGAATTAAAAGTTAACGACACTCCAAATGCGGCTTGAAAAAGCAGTGCATTTGCCTGCACCGGATTGCATGGTACAAAATGACCATGTGATGTGGTTCCAGTGCAGCTCAAATTTTTGTGCTACGTGGTGCAATATGAGCCCATTCAAAATGAATGGGCTCAAATTGCACTGCACAGAATCGCATGTGAATTGCACAGGAATGCAGTGCGGTTCCTGTGAATTTCACATGTGAGCTACAGTGTGAACTCCAGCTTATAGTACGGCTTTGGTGAGTGTTTGGAAAAGGGTGGGAGTGAGGTTTGCTGGTTTACAAAAAGTCCACCTAAATGGAGTCAGATTTGCGCAGACAGTTACATTTAAGAATTACACAGCCAGCTTAATTAAAACATGCAGCTGACCAGTTCTATTACGTGCACTACAAGAAAATTATGTCTTTGCAGCAATAATAATAATAATAATACAAATGCCATATATTTCAGGCATGCAGGGGAAGGGGGTTACAAAACCAATACAAAAACTGTACAGTTTCTTTAGAAAATGTGCAGCAGACAGCTTTATAGTAATTCTTTCTGGTTTGAATATTTCTAGATGAAGATGTGTCTTACCTCTTGGCTTGTTTTCTGGCCGGCTTTCATGTAGAAAATAAAAACTGTATCAAAGGGACGACATGGAAGCAAATCCAAGTATCCAATATCATCAAAGAAGCCAGGCATGTGCGAGTCAAGAGCAATAAGGTGAGGAGGTAGACGACTGTTTACAGGTTCCTGAAAGACAGGAGGGTCATGTGTAAATATCAAATTGACAGGTCTTTGTATAACACACACAAAAGTACAATGTGAAGATTCTAGGCAGTCTGTGGCGGGATGTTTGTACTCAAGAGAGTCACTGGGGGGTGAATAAAAAAACTTTACAGCAAATTAAAGAGAGACATTTTGATACACATTAATTTAGTACAACACACATGGCTCAGTACCCAACTGTACTTAGTCGTTTGGATCAAGCTATATTTTACGTAAAGCAAAACTCTTCTCAGGGATGTTCGATTCCTATCGCCCGAGGCCCGGGACATGTATTTCCGGGCGTCGGGCAGGTAGTTTTTTTCTACCTTTAGCCCTACTGCGGGCTCTCCTGTCAGGTGGAAGCATTCGGGCAGCAGCGCTGCTGATTGCTTCCACACAGTGCCAGCCTCTCACCCCCCCATGAGAGGGCCCAGCTCACCGCCGTCGGCTAGAGGGGAGGGAGGAGAGTAGACACGTCGTCTCCCCTCCCCTTCTTATCCTGACCTGGAAGTGACGTTATGATGTCAATTACAGGTTCCCGTTGAGAGATTCCTGCCCAAGGAAGCCAGGAAAGAATGTAATGCAGTGCGATGCGTACAGTCAGTGGAGCACAGGGGAGACCTGCAGGGTCTTTTAGACCCTGGATGCCTCAATAAAGAGAACCTGTCACCAAAGAATCATCAGAAAGAGGACTTAGTCCCCTATATGATGAAAAAAAAAAATTTTTTTTTTTTTTAAATTGTAAAGATGAAGTTACACCCAAGCACATACCATCTCCCACAAAAAAATTTAGGTCCCCCACATATAGAAACGTAAAAGCACATGCTGGGACGCCAACGCATGAAAACGTTGATTGCGATACACATCACATATTGCCGCGCACGCCAGAATGAGAGCGATAATTCTAGCACCAGACCTCTTCTGTACACTATACTGATGACCTATAAGGAGCTTTAAAAGTGTCGACCTATAGAAAATATAGGGTACTGAAGTTCATTACCATTTTACGAGCGTGCACAAATTTAAGGTTTGACAAGTAGGATATCTATTTACTCGCTGCAACCTCATCTTTTATATTTTACAAAAAAATAGGGTAAGTTATTGCTTTTTTGTGCCCTAAAATTAACTTTCTTGTATTTATTACTGAAATCTTGCGGTAATATCATGTGGCATAAAAAATTGGAACTATATGTTTGGGGGTTTTATGTAATCTTCAGGCCTCAAATGATTTTTTTTAAAAACTTGTGCAAAAGCAGCTCTGGCAGCAAAAGGGATAAAGGATAAGCCTTGACCCACCTTTTCCTGAGGAGCAGCCAATTGGTGCTCATTACACTGCAAGTCCTCTCCCCTCCCTGCTAGTCCCCGAGTGCGGTGCTGGAGAGAGGCAGGGAGGGGAGGAGGAGATAAACAGCGCAATGTTAAAAATATATTAAACATTTAAGTTGCCATAAAGCCCCTTTTGTTTTTAAAAGCCCCATACATTCCTATTATAACCTCCGATTTAAATACAGTTTTGGTTAAAATGTATTTATGTTTTTATCAGGACAAGTAGATTGTCATGAGGGATAAGTAGATTGGGACACCAATTTAGTCCCTGGACAAGTCGTTTTTTAAAAAATGTCCACACCCCTGTTCTATGTATACACACATATCTACTAGCTTACTGTTATAGCTGTGAGCTTCCTGCATATGCACAGTTCAACAACCTTGCTCTGAAACTTTTGCCTCGGCAGACTGCAAAATACTCTGAACAATTTGAAATGAGAGGAAACTGAAGTGTTTCCCACTGACACAGGGATACACTGCGACTCCCCTCACTAGCATACCATGCAGATAGGCAGCTTCTAGATCATAAACCCTTTTGTTAGGATAGTGTTCAGATCTAGTTTACAACTGATGAGATCTGCCAGCACAGTACAGACATGGTTAACTGCTTTCCCGCCAACCTATAGCAGAAATACTGCTACGAGGCGGCAGGGTGCGCAAAATCATGTATATAAACGTGATTCTGCATTTCCCTACACGCGCCGGCATTGGCAGCCTCACCTGTCTATCACCGGGTCCCGGACGGTGATTCCCTGCCAGCACCTTGTAAACACCTAGGAACAATGACAGAGGAAATGGGCTCTGAAGGTAATGGCTGGAAGAGAAACCGAGGCGCCTACAAGCTGTTGGGGCCTGGGAGTAATTCCCCCAGGAAAATTGGAGGGGCTCAGTTCCTCCTGACTTGAACGGGTCTACCTTCTCTGGCCAGGGGCCGGAGAGGCAGAGAGTCTGCGGAGCAGTCCCCCTCAGGAGTGCTCTTAGTAGCACATGGGGATGGGATCCCGCGTGCGATACAGTGGGGCAAAAAAGTATTTAGTCAGCCACCAATTGTGCAAGTTCTCCCACTTAAAAAGATGAGAGAGGCCTGTAAGTGGCATCATAGGTAGACCTCAACTATGAGAGACAAAATGAGAAAAAAAAAAAACAGACAATCACATTGGCTGATTTGGAAAGAATTTATTTGCAAATTATGGTGGAAAATAAGTATTTGGTCAATATCAAAAGTTCATCTCAATACTTTGTTATATATCCTTTGTTGGCAATGACAGAGGTCAAATGTTTCCTGTAAGTCTTCACAAGGTTGACACACTGTTGCTGGTATGTTGGCCCATTCCTCCATGCAGATCTCCTCTAGAGCAGTGATGTTTTGGGGCTGTCGCTGGGCAACACGGACTTTCAACTCCCTCCAAAGGTTTTCTATGGGGTTGATATCTGGAGACTGGCTAGGCCACTCCAGGACCTTGAAATGCTTCTTATGAAGCCACTCCTTCGTTGCCCAGGCGGTATGTTTGGGATTATTGTCATGTTGGAAGACCCAGCCACGTTTCATCTTCAATGCCCTTGCTGATGGAAAGAGGTTTGCACTCAAAATCTCACGATACATGGCCCCATTCATTCTGTCCTGTACATGGATCAGTCGTCCTGGTCCCTTTGCAGAGAAACAGCCCCAAAGCATGATGTTGCCACCCCCATGCTTCACAGTAGGTATGGTGTTCTTTAGATGCAACTCAGCATTCTCTCTCCTCCAAACACGACGAGTTGTGTTTCTACCAAACAGTTCTATTTTGGTTTCATCTGACCATATGACATTCTCCCAATCCTCTTCTGGATCATCCAAATGCTCTCTAGCAAACTTCAGACGGGCCCGGACATGTACTGGCTTAAGCAGGGGGACACGTCTGGCACTGCAGGATCTGAGTCCCTGACGGCGTAGTGTGTTACTGATGATAACCTTTGTTACGTTGGTCCCAGCTCTCTGCAGGTCATTCACTAGGTCCTCCCGTGTGGTTCTGGGATTTTTGCTCACCGTTCTTGTGATCATTTTGATCCCACGGGGTGAGATCTTGCGAGGAGCCCCAGATCGAGGGAGTTTATCAGTGGTCTTGTATGTCTTCCATTTTCTAATTATTGCTCCCACAGTTGATTTGTTCACACCAAGCTGCTTGCCTATTGCAGATTCAGTCTTCCTAGCCTGGTGCAGGTCTACAATTTTGTTTCTGGTGTCCTTCGACAGCTCTTTAGTCTTCACCATAGTGGAGTTTGGAGTGTGATTGTTTGAGGTTGTGGACAGGTGTCTTTTATACTGATAACAAGTTCAAACAGGTGCCATTGATACAGGTAATGAGTGCAGTACAGAGGAGCCTCTTAAAGAAGAAGGTACAGGTCTGTGAGAGCCAGAAATCTTGCTTGTTTGTAGGTGACCAAATACTTATTTTCCACCATAATTTGCAAATAAATTCTTTCCAAATCAGCCAATGTGATTGTCTGGATTTTTTGTCTCATTTTGTCTCTCATAGTTGAGGTCTACCTATGATGCCAATTACAGGCTTCTCTCATCTTTTTAAGTGGGAGAACTTGCACAATTGGTGGCTGACTAAATACTTTTTTGCCCCACTGTAAGTGCACATGGTCACTGTTCCAAACACTTTTTCTGCACTGTGCCGTTTGGCTAAGTCCAGGGCAATTTTTTTTGCTACGGGCCTCAGGGCCTAGCCAGTGCACAATTACACAGCAACATTTCTTTTTTTCCTTCAGTGTTTGTTACCTTTCACTTTTGTGTGTGTTTTTTTTCTCACCTGGATGGAGGGTGTGGGCCCTCGGGCCTGCCATGAAGTCTAGGGGGAAGATGTGTGGCCATTAGGTTCCTTCCTCCACTGTTCCTGGGGAGGGGGTCTCTAATTTGGAGAGCTCCCTGACCTAGTACTTTGTGGTTGGCTTTGGCTAGCCACAAGGAAAGAGGTCCGCCAGGCCTTTTGGCTAGGTGGACCATATTGGAAACCCTTTGTCCCTGTCAGGAGCCTTGCGTCCCAGGGGATCAGGGCAGAGGTCCTACCCCTTTGGAGGGTGGACAAAAGTACACCCCTAAGTGCACTTTTTTGTGTTTTGCACTTACATGGTTTTTTTTCACTTATGGGTTTTAGTTTTTTTTGCACCTCCGCGGACTTAAGAAAAAAAAAAAAAATTAAATGAACTGTTGCTGTATTGCATCAAACAAATATTACATACTTTTAGTGCTTCAAGTGACAGAAAGCCAAAGTGTGATAAGAGCAGCCGGGCAGTCTGGAACTCCTGTGCTGGAGGGGGAGGCTTGCATTCTGTTACTGGGTCAGGATAGCTCTTCTTCTTAAACTCTTCCTCTTTCTTATGGTCCAGCGCAGTCTCATACGTTATCTGTTTGGTCATTCCAATCTTCAACTTTTCATGCCTAAGCTCCAACTATGTAAAAAAAAGCATGATTAATATTAATGAGCAAATTAAAAAAAACTTAAAAACAAATCACTTTACCTTAGAAAAATACCATTAAAATAAAAAAGTGTCAATTTTCCCCCTAAGTCTATTGCATGTTACCAGTCATTTTAGGCCTAAAGTGGATGAAAAGGCTAATACACTTTAGGTAAAAATATTGCCTACCCTTCCCCATGCCCACACTACCTACTGATTATATAAAAGTTCTGTGTAAATACCTTTTTAAAAGTGTTTACCACAATATATTAATCATTCTACCACACCTTGCCTGCAAAGATGTCTGTTAAAATAATGTTGGTCTTTCATAAAACTGGGGTTGGAGTGAAATTACAGCCTTGTGTTGTCAAAAAGTTTGCAGACAGGGAAAGTTAGAAACCACTGCTCTAAAACAGCTATACTATCTCTTGATGTAATTAGTTTGCTAACTGACTTAGCTTTTTGCCTTGAGTTGGAGTACTCATGGAAATGAACACCACATCCTCACCTCCTCTGTAACAATTTCATGCAGGTCCGGAATGCTGAGATCAGCCTTAACAAAGGGAATTTTATCCACTTCTTCAGGAAATGGTCGATGCTTTACATTGTACTTTATCCCCTCGTCGATTTTAGGCTCTGGTCTTGCTTCAGGAATGAACATCTGAAAAAGTGAAGCGCACCAACCATTTAGAAATAAGAATCATACAGAAAGACTACCTATGTATTGTTAAAAAAAAAAAAATCAGTCACTGATTCACTCAAGTTCAACATTCCTGACCTAGAAGGAAACTGGTCTTTGCTCATTGGACAGTAACTAACATTCCAGAGCCACCACACCTAACATATCCCAGGAGCACATGAAAGTCTTGTCTGGATACTGGCAAAAACTACTCACTCGCTGGTTGGCTCTTGCTGCTCGCGGAAGGTGGCAGAGTTGCATAGACCAGGCATGGCGGCCAGACATGCCTCGGATTAATACAGTGATGGATGGACTTGGATTACCTACAAAAGAGAGAAAAGGAAAATCAGCACCATACACACAAAAATATACACACACACACACACACACACACACAGATTGTTGAAAAACAAAAATTTATAACTGATAAAGGAAGAGAGATGTGAAAACAGGAGAGATTTGTTTGGATAACTCACTCTGCTCGTTCCCCAGTGGCTGCTCCAACATAGCCAGAATGACACTGTTATCCAGCACAAAGTAGCGGAAACTGTACTTGCTGACAGTGGGAAGTCGGGAGTAGGTGATCAGTGTCATCTCATTAACCAGACTGCAGGGAGATGCCGGGCCACTTGGAGGTGGGAATGCACCAAGTAGCTGCATAATACTGCAAGAAAGAAAAAACATCTCATTCTCTGTACCCTGCAAGGCTTCCGAAAGCAAGTCCCTCAATACCTTTTTTCTGTAATGCTCTGTATGTACTGTAAAGATCAAAAAGTATGAAAATGACAACATGCCGTCCCCCCAACTAAAAATTAGGTGTGGCCATGTGGGGATGTAAATTGTTTGGTCCTTTCACATTCTGGGTCCAGAGATTCCTATAGACCTGACTTACAATCTCTACATAAATAATATGAATGACTGGTCTCTAAATACCACCCAAACCCTATTGTCCGCTCCTCGCAAGACCTCCTACTCTCTAGCTCCCTTGTCTCCTCCTCCCATGCTTGTCTCCAGGACTTCTCCAGAGCTTCCCCCATCCTCTGGAACTCTCTACCCCAATTTATCAGACTATCGCCTACTCTGCTCACTTTTAGGCGATCTCTGAAAACCTCTCTCTTCAGGGAAGCCTATCCTGCACTCAGCAAATACTGGAATCTTCTACTCTTCCAACCAGTCCATCCCCCACAGTTACCTTTTGTACCACTAGCTCCTCCCTCCTAGAGTGTAAGCTCCAAGGAGCAGGGCCCTCCTATCCCTCTTGTATTGAACTGTATTGTTACGGTATTGTCCCCCGTTATATTGTAAAGCACTGAGCAAACTGTTGGCGCTATATATAAATCCTGTATAATAATAATAATGACAACCAAAGTCCTATTAAAAGAAGTGCGCTACCATGTTAAGGTGGCTTCTGCAGCATCCTTCACTCTCATAGAGGCTGGATTGTGTTCCTTGTCGCCTTTGTATCGCACTTCTTGCTGCTCTGGATTTCTGGACTTGCTTCCAGATATTCCCAGCTCAACAATTTCCAGAACTTCTTTCAGACAATCCTGGAGATGGAGAGAGATTAGTAAATATAGAGTCTGTATTAAGGGTAACGAAGGTCGGAGATGAAAATCATGCAGAGATCCATATCCTGTCTCTTAGAAAAACAAAACAAAATTCAACACACAAAGTTCCTGTAATAGAAGTAAGATACAGTACTTGATCCCTATAATAGCTCATGTCATTTACTTTCCTTTGGTTTCAGCACTATATGTCTGTCTGTGTCTTCAGCATTTAACACTTCCTGAAGATTCAAATGCCAGTTTCCCTGTCACAGGCTGTGGTTACTTCTTCTGACCCAAACATTGCTTAGTAGTGATAAAGAGGATGGAGGAAGAAATCAGGGTGAGCATACCAACACTTCTATTGCAGGGTTTGTCTAGAGACCTGGCCTGGCCTAACCTAAATCCCTTCCAAGATAACAACTGTGCTGAAGCGCAGGCAGCCTGTTGAAGCAACATGAATCCGAGTGACTCTTTGGAGACCCTAGGATCTCATGTCTTCACTCCTTTCCAAGTAGACATTAAACTCCAACCCCTCCCAGTATTAAGCGTCTCTCACTGAAATTCAATGTTTCAAATGTCACAGCCTCTACTGCCTAATAAAGTTTGTTTTGCAGGGGCTGGGGCTTAATCCTGGCCTGGGAAGAAGTTGAGGCTCAATGGGTAAAGGATACAACAACAGTAATTAATCTATAAACACACACAAGTGGCAGTGCCCACATTTCAGCATTATTTCAGCCACAGAAATGCTAGAAGCCAGATCATGTTGACTTTAAATTTTTATTTGTAAATAGGAATTTTGACTTACCTGTAAATTCCTCATCTTGCAGTAAAGGGACTTGTGCTTTTGGACCATGGTTCAAATGCAGCTATCCCCAGGCAACTGGGCACCGGCAAATAAAAAGTGCAATGGTCGCCCCTAGAGCGCACCATAGAACCCTGTCCACTTCGTGGGGCTCAGTTTATTTTAGGAAGCACAAAACAGAGGGGAGGGGATTGTGTCCTGTAATGTACCCCAAGACGAGGAATTTACAGGCAAGTCTAAATTTCTTATATTTTAACTGTACAGTACAGGACTTCTTAGACCATGGGACATAACCAAACAACACACTGAAGGGTGGGCAACAACATAGCAAACAGCACTGCCAACAGGTCCACAAGAAATCAAGTCTTAAAGACCCCCCCCCCCAAAAAAAAAAAACAAAAAAACAAAAAAAAAACAACATCCAAATGACTGTGTCTAAACTGCCTTGTAGCCCAAACTCGCATCAGCCGAGGCTTGAACATCCAACTGGTAGAACTTTGAAAACGTGAACAGAGGACCAGCCTTTCAGTATGCTTAATACTGAAAAGTACAAAAGGAAAGGAGGAAATCTGTCCCTAAAGGTATCCTGGAAATAAGTTGCTTGATCCACCAAGGTGGAATGGAAAGCAGGAGGTTCTCTACGTGGGCCCATAAGCAGGACAAATACGGATTTAGCCTTGCAAATAGAGGCTGTGGCTTCTAGGTAGGCCCTGAGCGCATCTAGCCAATGTAGGGTGATTTTCTTGTGATTTGGGGGCGTGCACAAGAAAGGGAGAACAAAGAATTTATTGAGGTGAAAAGAAGAGACCACCTTGGGTAGAAAGAAGTTTCTGGTCTCAAAACCACTGTCCTAGTGTAAAATAAGAAAGGGCTTTTCACAAGAAACAGCTGCCGGCTCAAACATGCCTAACAGATGTAATGGCAACTAGGAATGCTACCTTAGAAGTGAGGTCTTCCAACAGAATATCTCTAACTGGTTCAAAGGAAGGTCCCTACAGTACAAAGAGCATCAGGTAAAATCCCAAGGTGACACAAGAGGTCAAATTGGGAGATTTATATGAGCATCTCCCTGAAGTAAAATGTCGATAAGCGATTACAGGGCAAGAGATTTTTGGCATGCAATATGTAAAGCAGAAACTTGCCCCTTGAGGGTACCTGAGGGTACTCAGACCAGACTGAAGAAAGGGCCAAAGGGGTAGAGTATTCCCTAGCGTTCAACCGTCTATCTTTGCACCATGCAAAGAAAGACTTCCATGTGCAATAGTAAATACTACGTGAATTTGATTTTTTTTTTTTTTTGCTCTAAGTGGGGAATAAGGTTAAAGGAAACCCTGTGCTGTAGGACCTTTGTCTCAACAGCCATGCTATTAAGGCCTGTGACTGAGAAACACAATAGTAGAACAGGGGACTTTAAGCCAGTAGATGTAGTCTGGAAGAGGCAAAGGCACAGCTGACAGAAGTTTGAGTATGTTTGTGTAAGACATTCTTTCTGGGTCAATTTGGTGCGATGAAAATCACGGATACCCTTATCTCCTCTGGTGAAGAAGTCATATGAGAATATTCACCAGAGGGAAGCCATGAAGCAGCTTGAACTAAGCCCAAGTCATCATCAGAGGACCCACTGTGAAGGCTAGAGGACCAATGGTCTTGGCAACAAATTTCTTTAGGTTGCTGTTGAACCTTGAGGGCAGGAAGTTTGCACTTTTGACAGATTTTGAAAGACCTCTAGGAGCAGAGATCACTCCTCCAGGTTTAGGCGTTGGCAGCTTAGGAAGCCCACTTGCCAACTGTCCACTCCAGGGATGTGGATAGCTGAAAAAGCTGAAATGCGAGTTCCCACCCAGAAGAGTAACAAATTGGTTTCTTTTAGGACTTCTGCAGCTACTCTGTTAGCTTCTGTAGGCAATTTTAACTGCACCCTGACTGGGTGATATCACAGTCTTTAGAGCAGGGCTCAGCAACCAGTAGATCGTGATCTACCAATAGATCTTGGCCAGGTGACTGGTAGATCACGGTCAGGGCTTGCTGACCTGCCACACCAAAGCATCAAACAGAGTGAAATGCAGGCGGATTACTTGTAAAGTTAGAGCTATAGTAGGGAGCAAGAGGCGCATAAATTGAGGTCTCCTCTGTAGTGCTGGCTCTTATGCCCTGTCATAGTTGGTGGGTGTAGCACCTACCAAGCATGACCCATTCAAGTGAATGAGGCCGCTCTGCATGTGCCCTGCAACCTTGTGCAGTACAACAAACAAGGGGTTAAACAGGCAGTGGTGTGTTGCTTATTCACCACCTGCTTTACCCCCCTTGGACCCCGCAGAAGCATGCAGTTGCGGGGCACTTGCAGAGTGGCCCCAATTACTTGAAGGGGTCTCGACTGACAGGCGGTAGCACCCACCAAAAGCAACAGGGGGTGTAACCATGACTCAACCGCAGTTTTACCACACCACAGCTTTACATGTGAAAAAGCCCTAAGGGTGCTGCTGTCAGATGCAACCAAAGGCTCATTCACAAGTGCAGCAGGCACTGATGCTCCTCTGTAAAGTTATCTGAGTGTGTTTGACAGGTGGTGAGTCGGCTTTATCTTGCCTCCTCACCACTTGATTTAAAGCCATGATTGTTGTGCAATGCACGTGATTGTGACACAGTAGTACAGGAATTAGAGGTTTAAATCAGGTTTGAGGAGGTGACACTGGCCGACACTCTGCCCGGTGAAATTAGACTTCTCCCATGCTGCTCAGGTAGATCTCCACCTCTTTAAAGGTTGCCTACCCCTGCCCCATCAACACAAAACAACAATGCTGATGACAACAGCTCCAAATGTTCTCAGCAAGTTGGGTTATCTAAGGTCAGTTTTTATATTTCTTCATTCATATGTCTTGTCCAGTTAGCAATAGTCTGGCAAATGATGACAACAGTAACTGGCTGTAGGATTGGACCTGCAAGGACAAAGAAGGCTTCCAGATGCCAATCAACAGAATACATTCAAAGAGGGAAGATCCTCAATAGGAAATGTAAAGTGTTCCTTGAGAACTAAAATGGCAGGACCCACCACAGGAACCATTTTTTAAAAATAAATCTATATGTGTATTGGACAAGTCCTTCTGGACTGGTTTTGTTGTGTCCCTAGGGACTTGTTTAGACTGTGGAGAGTCAGGTGCTGCTAGGCAAAGACTAATGCACAGGTCCATCAAGTGTGTAGTGTGTTGTCCACAGTAGAAAGCATTTGGTGCGTAGCCGCAGCTTGCAACTTATAAATTTCAGGGCAGGAAAAATTTAACTCAACTTCTGCTATAAAATTAGGGTACCTTACACCATAATATCCACAAAGAAAAGAGGTTCCACTTCTGATTCCTGAACTGGACCTGGAGAAAGCAGGATGTGTAGTGTATTTTGCCTCTGGAAAGCAAAGGTTGCATGTGTGCCTAAGAGGGTGCCAGAGTCAAATACTGGAAGCGGTGTCATAACAGGACATTGCTCCAGATAGGAAAACAGTCATCATCCTAAGTGGTGGTTGGGAGTTTCCTGTAGGCCATCTGTGAAATGCGTGTTATTCAGCCCTTCTGACCCAGTTGCCTAGTCTCTGTGATCCACCATTCCTAAATGAGGAATACACAGTGGAGTACTCTGTAGTGGAGTAGTTATGGAGTGCAGAATGGATGGGGTTGTGGGTGTCCTGATATAGAAGCCGATATAACCCAGGGCAATATTGTGCACTCTGGGGACAGCCTTAGCAAGTTTTTTTTGCCAGTGTCCACTCGCCTGGGGATGGCTGCATATGACCCATGGTCTAAGAATACAAGTCCTGTGTCCTATACAGGATAAGATCTACATAAAGTAGTTCTCCTAGTTTCTGATTTCCCTTGGAAGTTCCTTAAGCACCCCAAGGTGCTACTAGTTATAGAACAATTTTATAGTGAGTACATGATCATTTTACATAAACTTTCCTTCAATCTGACCCAAATGGAGCAGCTCTCATGTCTATGGGTAAATTAATGTTAAAGGATGCATAATCACGTAAATATAAATACTGTACTGACTGAATGACTACTTTACTTGGTAATTTTATTCTTAGTTTCTTGACTAGCTTATTTTCCAGTAACCAGGCTCTATGCTATAACAGTAGCCCATTATTTGCCAGTAAAACAAGCTCGCAGACTATACGGCTGGCCCTCTTTCCAGTAGCCCTGCCTGAACTGGAAACTGGAACTTGCTATCTAACAATTTGACAATGGTGTAATGTAAATAGAAAATGAAGGTTCCATTTCCAGGAGGAAAAGATTGTTTTCTTTGGAAGAAGACATGGCATAGATCAAAAAGGAAGGAAAAGAAAATTGGAGAAGTTAAGCAATAACATTATTCTATTTTTTAACCTCTACTGGAAATTATAGTTCTAATTTCACCCTTTCCTTTCTACCTGGTTTAGTAAATGAGCCTCCATAAGTAAGATGGTCCTGCAATTGAAATGGAAGTGGACAATGTGACCAGTTTCAGGACTATAAACAGTTATCTCCTCATAGTCACAGACTGTATGCAAAGCAACTTTGAATTAGCGAAGTCTACAATCACAATAGGAAAACACAGGAATACAGGTTACAGTACATCCCCCTTGGAAAACAAAAATTACAGAAAGATTTTAGTAGTTGGTTAAACAAGGGATGCTAGAAAACATTTATAACAAGACTGAGGTTTTGCATTTACCAAAAATGCTGATGTGTTTAAACCTCATATTCTCTTTGGATATGCAGAGGGGACTGTTTTTTTTTCCTCAAGAAAAGTGGAGTTACACTTAAAGCGTTACTAAACCCACAACAGTAAAATCAGTCTGTATATGTTATACTCACTGTGGAACCTAAAGGGGTTAATCCCTCCTATTCCTTCTGTACTGAAATGTATTGTAATTGTACTGTCTCCCTTATATTGTAAAGCACTGTGCAAACTGTTGGTGCTATATAAATCCTGTATAATAATAATACATAATAATAATCCTCTGCATTGTGTAAAATTGCTGTCTGATCCTGACTTCTCTGATCCTCCCCCTTCTTCCAGTGTCACCCTCTTATCACCCGATAAGACATATTGTGGAGACACTGCACATGCTCGATTTGGTGTGTATTGCTATATTGGTGTTTTTTTTATTTTCTTGCGAGTGCACATGTGATCAGCACAGGGCCAATGAGCAATGTCCAGACAGAGGTCGCATCCTCCTAGAGCAAAATAAAAACTCCTCTTACAAGCTTTAACCAGTGCTTTGCTGGACACTAATAGAAGTCACAAGACTGCTGTATACTGCTGATTATATTTACTAAAATAATTGAATTTCCATGATCTGTGTAATGTGGGAGACCAGATATAGTGAATGCAGCATCCTGGGTTTAGTAACACTTTAACTTAATACAATTCATGTAAAAACACCTAAAGTAACACCTAGAGTAAAAATAAAATATTTGGGGAAAAGCAGTTCACCTTTTCATTTAACATGTCAGGGTGCTCAGTAAGCCAGACGCACAGGCACTGAAAAGCAGCCACAATCATGGAGTGGAGATCCCGCGAGTGATGTGGAGCAGGCCGTGAGCACTGATACACTATATACAAGCATATTGAGCTCACTGCCCTCTTCCTGTCTGCAGAGTCAATGTTCACCTTCACCTACAAAAGAGGAACATAGATCACTTTACTGGTGAAGTTCCAAGCACAAACTACACCTGCTATAAATTAAACTTCAAGGAAAAGTAAGATTATGAAAAAAATCAAGCATCCATACTCACCGGGGGAGAGGGGGTGCTGCAGCACTATCACTTGTCAGGCCTAAGACCAAGAAGTGATCATATGACCACTGATCACATGACCACTGTCAGTAACTGCTCTCCACTTTGCTCCTCCAGCACTCACTGGAGCAAATGCATGGAGAGGGGGCAGTCACAGCAAAATATGGCTCTCCGCCACATATTGAGGGGGCAGGGCCAGCTGTCAATCAGGCAGCCAGGTGGATTCAGGTGGAGCAGCCCTGTCTAGTCAGTTGTCAAGTTAGATATACTCCTGTGACCCTCAAGAGAGGTATGGCAAAAAAAGCTTTGGCCATACTTCCTTTTTTCAATGTGAGCTTGAATGTGAGGGCCTGAAAATAAAGGAGCTGCCCAAAGTCTTGGGCTGCCTTGTGCGAGTCACTGACATGGAACAAGCAGGCAGCCAGTGAAGTCTGAAAAATTTAAAGCTCTGTCCGGTCTTCCAATTTCGGGTCCATGTCCTACTCAGGGTGAGAGTCCCAGAACCTATAACTAAACTTAAAATGCAAAAATGTATTATATTGCAGCTCACCAGTTCTTAGATGTAGTGACGAAATCAACTCTCTTTTTCAGAAAAAAAACTTTTTTTTCTTAGCAAGTATGGAAAATGTAGGAATTGTATTCCCATAATTGAAGTCCACAGAGGGACACAGGAAGTCTTCATCTTCAGGTTATACTCCTGCCTATGGGAGGTGTGGGTACTGGCAAACAAAAAAACTGTAGACCAATCTAGAATAACCCCTACCAGTGCCAGTACATCTTAGTTTTGTACCAAAGCATGATCAAAAAACAAGTCCCTCAATTAAAAGGATTTTATGGGGGTACAAATACAGAGATCCAAGTTTGGAAGGTCTAGATGTGAACACTTCAAGGAGTAGAGGAGAGGAAAGAAAGGGAGTTGACTTAGCTGGCCTTTCTTTAGATTTTTTTTCTGCTGAGGTAGGTCGTCCCTCGAAGACCAATAGGTCAGGCACTCCTTCAACAGAGTCAGCCTTCCGCACTTGAACCAGATTACTCTGCACATGTGAACTGACGAAAAAAAAACCCTCATATGGAAGACTTACTGAGATGCCTCCAGCAGGCCATCACAACTGAAGCATAATGCTCCAGACATCTTCTTCACAGGCTCTATCAGGAAAAAAATCCACAGCTGCAGTGGAAAGACGCTTGAGGAATTTTGATCATTTTGCCATGGCATAAAAAATTTTAAGTCACAGTCAGAATAAGGAAAAAAGCAATGTTCAGCTAAACGTTTACTCCTTAGGTTCTAGCAGAAAACAGCTAGCTGGAATAAATTAGTTATCATTGGTTGGCAGGTGTAATTTAATAAAAATGATCTGGGCCCCACAGTTGCTATATGCCTTGCATAATGCCCCGATATGGATCCCCATGTATGTTTTCAAGCAATCCGATACTGTGTTTCGCTCTCTGATTTGGAAGAAGCAATCTCCTTGCATATAGAAACTCTGCAGGAGCCTAAGGAGGCTGGTGGACTGGTGGTCCCTAATCCATATTACTACATGGCTGCACAACTTCAACATCCTTACTGCCTGGTAAGGTGATTTTGGAGCCTTGTCTCAATACCCTACCCTAGTACTGATAGATAAATTATGGTCTAAGGCTAAACTTCACTTTAATTATTCCGGCTACACCTCCTTGACTTGTATTTTTTATAATACTAACTACTCTGAACTATTTGCAGGGTTTTGCCGGCTGGATAGTAATGGGTATTAAGTATGTACCACAATTGTATCATGGTCAATTGCTGAAAGACTTTCGAACTTTGCAACTGGAATATGGCTTACCTAATCACTTTTTTTTTCCCAATACCTGCAACTTAGACATGCCATCTCTGCACAATCTAAAATATCTCCATGGTTATTCATTGAGCCAGAAGTTCTTATTCAAACTATATCCTCAACCTCTAGAAAGGGCCAAATATTCTCGTATCAATCCTGTGTACAACGGGTTTCTAAGGCACTGTCTCTCAATTGCAGGGCACAATGGTTGGCAGACTTAGGCACTATCTCAGATGAGGAATGGTCCACAATACTAGAACATGCAATTAAGATCTCTCTGTCTCCAACTCAAAAGCTTACCCAACTCTTTATCATTCACCATACTTTCTGCACACCTCAAAAATTGTATGCCTGGAATAGGAGGGATTCTCCCTTTTGTCGTAGGTGCGAAATTAATAATGGCACACTTCTCCATATGTTATGGAAATTCCCTAAATTAGCAAGATACTGGACATATATTATAGAAATGATAGAATCTGGATTCTTAATCTTCCCGTGGACCCTTAGATTTGTCTGCTGGGAGCCATAGATGAGGACCTATATACCCCGCATACTTACATTGCAATTCTCAGAGTGTTTATCGCTCGGAAACTTATAGCCCAGAAATGGCCATCTCCTACACCTCCTTCCCATGTGTCATGAATTAAAACCGTTAATGACACCTTAGTCAGAGAGAAATTAATCAACATAGGGGATGTGCATGGAAATTTACAACTATTTGGGATGCTTGGTCAAATACAACGGAATTAGCACCACTCCAAGTAGTTAAGGACAGAGTACTAAGTGGAGGAGTCTCTTCAGGCTTGATATGACATTTCCCCTGTCCTACACTTGACAGTGTTTTGTCAGTAGATTAGATTTACATGAGTAATAAATTAAAAGTACTACCACACTTATCTCTAATCTCCATTTTATATCTTAGTGTTTAGACAGACACTAGAGTTACATATGTACCGAATGTTTTTTTTTTGCGGACATTAGACCTTTACCTATATTTCTTAAAAAAAAAAAAAAAAAAAAAAAAAAGGATACACTGAGACAGCTTGTTTAATAAGGTTCAGTTTAGTTGAAGAGTTGTGTGTTTTCACTGTTCTGGTTTTATATTTATTTTTTCTGGGTTTTTTGTTTTTCTATAATATTTTTTCTTTTTTTTTTCTCACAAAACAAAAAGCATTGTGGTTTGGGATCAATGCTCATGACTTCCGCATGCTCTGATGTACACCCTTTGAGTACTACACTTGTGAACAGTATTTTTATTATTGCTGTATTATGTTGGAGTTTGTACTTGTAAAAATAATCATGTGTGTGGGCCCAGATTTCAATAAAAAAAAGATCGGATTTAAAAAAAAGGAAAAAGGCAGGGTCTGCCAGCAACAACTGGATCTCATGCAGGCCATAGACGGGCCGTTTATCGGCCGAATTTTCAGACTATAAATGAAAAATCGGTCGGCCCCATTGCCGATGCTGCCACTATTTTCCAGCATGACCGATAAAAATAAATGTGAAGATCCACAAAAATCGGCCGACGGGCTGGCCCCACTAACGGCGTAAATATCGGCCGTTTTTTTTTTTGTGCGGACGAAAATTCGGCCGATAAACGACCCGTCTATGGCATGCATAAGATCCAGTTGTTGCTGGCAGATCCTGCCTTTTTCCCTTTTTTTAAATCCAATCTTTGGCCTGCATTAAAGAGGGATTCCAACTGCTGATCAATAGAATCCATGAATGTAGGAGCTTCCTACACTGTCTTTGTGGTTTCCCTGTTAAGGTGAACCACTGTCAGATCAGCTGATAGCAGATAAGGGTTGGAGGGCTAGGAGTGACAAAAGTCACTTTAGATGAGCAACAGGAACAGACCGGAGTTCAAGGTTCTACACATGGCTCTCTGCAACACTACCTGGTGAACACTCCAGCACTCAGTCCCTCTAGCAGTGATGTAAAGAATCATAACTGAAGAAAATAAAATGAACAAAATTGCTAGCCAAAAATTAGGTTAGAATGTATGTCTAGCCTCCTTAGACAACAGCAAAACCTGAGGCATCCTGTTACATTTTTTGTGTCCAATCTACCTCTAGGTAGGAGCATAACCTGAAAATGAATACTTCCCGTTGATCCTTGAAGAAATGCTTTGTCTTTGTCACTTCCTGTGAACTTATCAGAAAGCACAAACAAGCTTATCCATCATCTGTGATCTACAAATCCCATGCAGATCAACAAGACAGACATGTTTGAAGTCCAACCTAGGTGACAACCAAAGGTCATACTACAGATCTGCAGCACCTTTCTTTACATTCTGCTTTGTGCATATTCTGGGCTCCTTCTTCCAGCCTCCTGCACAATGCACTTGGCCATTGAGGCATCACATCATAATAGGCCAATGGGAATGGATGAGGGTGGGAGCAATCATGCAAGGTCTACAATCACCCAAAAGCAGCATAACTGCTTATCGTAACAGCCCAGGACTCAGGTAATGCGAGGTACTGGTTATTAAGTCTCTATTAGTGCTAGATGAGAGCTTTTTAGATCAATTTCAAGATGTTTGTTGTAGCAATCATAGATACTGACCTTGGCAAGTCCAGACAGTAGCTCCAAGGCAGCCAATGAGATGCTCATTTCTGGCCTCCATTGCGCGTTGAGCCTCTGGGTGACCAGGTGGATGCTGCGCATGAGTAGACCGGCAGCTGTATCTGTATGAAGAGCTAGGATGTAACCGCAGAACCAGTGCAAAGCCAGGGAGGGAAAACAACCGCTCGTTAGTAACAGGAAGCGGACAGCCCAGGAGCAGGGCGCAGCCACAGAGCACAGAGACAAATACAAACCGGGTACAATTAACATTTCCACTCCCCATTAGGCAACACAAGCTGAGGTTAAATCAGTCCACAATCAGGTATATGGACATGTTAATTCACAGCAGACACATTACACAGAGACAAAAAGTATCAGCACTAAGCGCTGTTGCCTTTTCCCTAATACTGCCAATCAGATTCAA